ATCTTGATTTGTGTGAGATTGAAGACTGGAGTTCTAGAAATCAAATGGTGTTGAATATTGAGAAGACAAAATGTATGCTTATGGGAACTCAGCATAGAAAATCTAAGTTAACATCTTCAAAATTAGATTTGTGTGTATCAGACAAAGTTCTTAAAAATGTTAAATCAGAAAAATTACTGGGAGTATATATTGATCATTCATTGCGCTATATTAGTCATATTGATTTTGTTTGTAAGTCCTTGACGTATAAACTATTTACATTACGTGAAATTAAAAATATCTAACATTACACACGCGGAAACTTTTTTATAATGCATACATTCTGCCATCGTTAAATTATTGTTTAACTATATGGGGCAATGCTCCAGATGCTGGCATAGATAGAGTTTTAAATTACAAAAAAGAGCAGCAAGAGTTATATTAGATGCGGCAACAGATGCTCCATCACAATCATTATTTGTGAAACTTGGTTGGCTTACTATTTATGAATTGATAGATTTCCACAAATACACACTTCTTTATAAAACACTCCATGGTATGACAACTGATCATCTGAGAGACTCGTTTGACTTTATTTCCTCCATTAATTATATTTTACGTTCTGAATCCAATTATGACCTTAGTCTACCAAAGTACAGAACAAATTTGCTTAAAAAATCTTTTCCATATTCAGGCATTCATTTATTGAACAAATTACCTCTGAATGTCCGTTTTTCTCCAACTATACAATCCTTTCGTCAAAATGTAGAAAAAATTATCATTAATTAACGCAACATTGCTTTATTTGTAACTTGTTTCTATGTTTAATAATATGTACTTTCTTTTTTTCAAATGTACTTCACGTGTGTTATATACTTGTATTTTTTCTTTTTGTTGTACTGTTGTATTCATAATTGTACTATCCATGCATAGAGGGCCCCGAGGAAGACTAGTGCTTGCACTAATCGGGTTACCCTCTTTAAATAAACTATTATTATTATTATTATTATTATTATTATTATTATTATTATTATTATTATTATTAATAAGTCTAAAAGATCCGTTTTTTCTTGGGCACTAGACCTACTGGTGATAGCGCAGGGTTAAGTAAAGGTGTAGACGGAAAAGGTCTCGCCACCCTACCTAAATAAATTTCTTTATTAATTAGTTGAATTGCTTCATTCTCTAGGCCCTCTAATGATCTGAGGTTGCGACAATCTGTTGCTTGTCTCAAAACTTTGTAACCAAGTTTAAAACCTTGAAAATCCTTGCAATATTCGGCTGCCGTGTGTTGGTCTGGGTTAAAACTTAAATAATTGTCTAATTGTGAAATCTGAATAGGGGTAGTAGCTCTGTCACTAATGTCTAAATGGCTGCCTTGGTTTTGCATTGTTTACGGCTGTTGCCGAGTAGGCCCGTCCAGATGACTGTTGAACTGTGGGCTTAAAGCTGAATCGATTTGCAGGCAAATTTAATGAACATATAATAGACGAATGGCTGAGTGAACAACGCATGCATAAAATCTTATAAAAACATGGTCTTTTTTGACAAGAACCCTAAAATAAAAATTATAGCATTTGTTCCCTTGATCTTGGTGTAATAATTGTTGGGTGTTGCGGGGGGCTGCAGATACAACAACCATAATTCCTGGTCGACGTTAGCAAAAGAAATGTTTGGGTTCTGCCCTTTTCTTAGGCGAAATTGGATATCGTAATCACGCCAACCAAGTCCAGATGACCTGCTAGCGCCTAAATGGATTGTGTGCATATATTTCAATAGGGCAGTGACACATTCTGGGTGTGCAGTCACATATATAGACGAATATCCAAGAAAAAGATTTGTCCAGACTTGGATATCCATTATAGCCTTGACCTTGTTCTTAAGGGTCATAGCCAGATTGCCCTCTTTAAATGAAATGTACTGCTTTTCGTCATCCGGGTCTGAGAAATTAGTCGCCAATTTTGCTAGATTTTGGTATTGCCCGCTTGAAATTTGTACTTTGATCTTATTAGAGACATTACACCCCAGCTCAAAACTATAACTGGGCACAAGCCCTGCATGATGTTCATTCACCTCCGGAAAAATCTGAACAAATTGAATAAAAAAAAATAATTACATTGCCCGTTTTGGTCACCAACAGGAGGATCTGTGACTATCTGTGACGGAAATAGGTGACGGTTGAGGTTCCTTGTCGGCTAGCCCCACCAAGATTGCGTCTGTTATAGCCCTCATCTGAGCGTCAATCAGAATTGCCGGTGTACTGGGTTGTCCTTTGTTGGTTGTCTGTGTCCGAGACGACATGGGGACGTGACTTTCTCTGGCCTCGGTCTGCGTCTGGGGTCTCTTGCGTGGTCTGGGCCTATCCGGTGCCGGTGGCTGTGTCTCAGAAACTACAGAAGACGAAGTGGCCTTCCTCTTCGGCATTTTTGTTTTGTTTTGAATAAATTAATGACTAAATCCAGTCTTAATAGCAGTGGACAGAAAAACGTGCAATACTTTCACACGAAAAAAAAAAAAAAAAAAAACCGTCCTTCCTTCTAAACTTCCACGTGTTGAATGCTAAAAAGATATGCAGGGGGACTGCAGGGTGGCCGTGACGTCACATTTCACGCTTATCCTTGCTAATGAGCTACAGGTGGCTAAAAACCCGACAAACCCCAAGAGTGACATTAACGCTATTTAGCTTTGATAAACCGATTTAACTTATATGAGTTAAATCCTATTATTTTACTCTCCGCCAATAAATGCTATTAAATTTATACCCTTTTTTGAATGAAAATAAATTCTGAAAAAAGAAATTTGCGTTGCAATAACTGGAGCCGAAATCTGGTTTCTTCTGCTTAATTGCCTGTTACCCATCTATTACTTGACTTGAATTTGTAGTAATAGATTTGTATCTCCTGGATACAAATGGAAATATCGGCGATTTTTTAAGATAAAAAATACATACTTTAAAAGGATGGGCGCTTCCTTTTAGGACTTCACTAATATCGAAAAAATGTAATGTGGTTAAAATCTACATGTCGGGGACAATTAGTTTTTTAATTTAGATTTATATCACTTGATGTAGACGTCACATAATTTTAGCAATTGTACTTGCAGTTTAGAGGTCATCTATAAATTCCAATATGAAAGGGCATAACCAAGTTAAAAATCTTAGTTTAATTTATAATCCTTTTCGACACTATATGTAGTTTGTGAAAAGTGCTTTGAAAATAATAACATGAATAAGGAAAAACAGCGTTATTCGGTGAAAATGGCGTTCATGATATATGCCTTTAAGAGAGGTCTGTGTGACTTATACGCAAATAACAATTACGAAATCAAAAAAATACATTTCTTAAAGAAAAATCGACCTGTTTGATCTATGTGCATTTAAGGGTTGTTTATCATGTAAAAGAAAGGGGAGGAGTTCAAAATACATTACCATATCCCTTACCGAAAATATTGCCTTCCTGCAAATATTTGCTGCAAGTCTGCAGCAAACATTGCTGCAAGCTTGCGGCAATGTAGCCAAAGAAAGCATGACAGTCTATACAAAGCCTTGGTGTTTGCAGCAAGTTAGCGGCAAGTCTGCAGCAAGCTTGCTGCAAACATTTTACCATGCAAATGAGGTTTGCTGCAAGTCTGCAGCAATCATTGGATTTTCCAAATAAGGAAACCTTGCTGCAAGCTTGCGGCAAACATTGCTGCAAGCGGCGTTGAAGCCTGCCGCAAACATTGCTGCAAGCTTGCGGCAAACATTGCTGCAAGCCTGCCGCAAACATTGCAGCAAGCTTGCAGCAAACAATTTCCTTATGGTTTTGGCACATTCCTTTGTACAAGCAGCAAGTTCATAGAAAGCCTTTGTCCTGACCTAAATATGTTAAGTTTAGAGAAAATCCACCACATGTTTCTGTAATGATGCAGTTTTATGAAGTTATGATGAGCCCTCTTTACGTTCCTAGAAAAAGTTTTCATACCTTTTTAAAATTAAAGTGCAATGATAGCTTTTAATATGAACAGAACTTTAAGAACTTTACATATAATTTTCAATGAATATTTTTGTGATTACACATTTAGTAATTAATTTGATAACATTTAACTGATTTGGGTCCAATACTTTTAAGAAGTATACATATGTGATATCAAAAAGAGGACTGAAATTCATAAGAAACAGATTTAGATTTGACCTAGCATTTACACTCAAACGTGCTTTTAAGAAATATTCTTTCAAATATCAAAATAAATCAAAATCATTTCTTACCAATTAGATATCATTGATGGAATGAACACCTACATCCAGAGTTTGGCACATTTAATCATTCAAAACGATGCATATTCCTAACAAAATACTGAAACGTGTACAACTTCAATTCCAACATTTCAAAATGGCCAGTTTTCTGTTGACCCAGTACAATCTGCGTTTCATTGGCTGATTTGACTTGTTTACTGTTCTTGCGAACTTCCTGCAAACATTGGAATAGTGAAAAGTTTCCTGCGAACTTGCTGCGAACATTAAATTGGCGTGTATGTTTCTTGCAATGTTCCTGCAAACATGTTGGGTTCCGCAGCAAATTTGCTGCAAGCTTGCAGCAATTGCTGCATTGTTTGCCGCAAGATCGCAGCTAGCGGCAATCATCTGCGAACAAGAAAATTTTCTTCCTGCGAACAATTTTGTTTGCTGCAAACTTGCAGCAGACTTGCTGCAGGCCTGCAGCAAACATATCAGCTTGGTAAGGGATTGATTTATAACATTTGTTGGTCTTGTTGCTTTCGAATCAGTTTTTGCTTTAAGATGCATGCTAAATAGAATAAGCACATCAATAAAAAGACTTTTCTTTTCAAACTTATAAGAGAACAACAAGAAAAAAAGAAATAAATAAAATGAATAGAACCGGTTTCACATTTCAATTCGTCACGCAATATATGTCATTCTAGTAGCATTATCAAGTTTTAGAGAGAGAGAAAAAAAATATTGAGTAAAATAAAAATATGTTACTGATCGACTAACTACACTTTCAAATACTCTTTTTTTTTAGATAACAGATGGCGGATCCATGACTGAAACAGAGGATGTCTACATTAAAAATCCTAAGATCAAAGACGAAATGCACTGTATTGTTTATGTTGTCAATGCCAGTAGAGACGAGGAGTTTCTAAATGATGACATTAAAAAGGAAATTAAGGGATTGTTAGACAAACAGACACCAACCAGTAAGTATTCGAGTCAAAAGTAGTGCTATTACATGAATATATTCCATTGCATTATAAATCCATATTATCGGGTATTTAGTACTTCTTATACTTTGCTCAATACAACGAAAGGTATACTACTCTTTTTGTATAAACTTTCCATTGATTTTAACTTTTTAAATGTTGAATACTGATGTTCAATACCTGCTTTTATCTGTATGCAAGTGCTAAATTAATATTATTATTATTATTATTATTATTATTATTATTATTATTATTATTATTTATATAGATAAACCTCAGTTCATTTTACTAACGAACATGGATAAAGTGGTTCCAAAAAAAGATGTCGAAAATTTGTTTAGGTATCGCTGTGTTAGAAGAGCATGCAACAACGCTTCTAAAATAACGCAGATAACACCTGGATATATATTACCAACTGCAAATTACACTCAGCCAGGGCCAACTAATGTCATGGATGCTCTGTGTCTTCTCAATTTATTCAGAATTGTTTCCAGCGCACACGATTACGTTAATCGAAGAATAATTGAAGAGAAGGAAAAGAACCTGTCTTTACCTTAAGAAACACGGGGAGTGTTCGAATTCGCAAATTTCACTATATCATTTAAACTGTCAATATTTTTTTTCCATACCAGTACTTATCAATTCTTTATCTTGCTTATTTTACAATGATTATTAACATATACATGTAGCAAATATCAATATTATAAATATAATGGAATTATGATATTCTAATATATTAGTCGGACATACATTTAATGTATATAACACAGCAAACAGGACTATAGCCTACAATGTATTTATAATACTTTTGTTTCTTCTATTTTCTGTCTCATTTTGTATAAAAACAGATTAGTTCATTGATTTTCATTAAGTGTTTTTATGTATATAAATAAGTTCAACTTATATATCAATGCCTACAATATTTTGTTATTTTTAATTCAATTGCACTGAATCATTTATCAGTTTCAGCATTTAAGAGCACATAAACAGTAAATTATCCCCTATTCTGTATGTAAATCTAAACTGTTATGATCTGCATTTATAATTTATACATATATGAATTTTTTTTAATCAGAATTTGAAAATAAAGTTTGAGAGAAGGATTTTTGTTGCTAAGAAATCCTACGGAATTTTGCTCATGTTAAGGACAGATGAAACAAACAATTTTTTTCTTTGAAAAAGATTAAATATCATGTCAAAAGTTTAGAAATTGGAATGGTTCTTAGAATTTTTTTCTTTTAAGAACTGGAATATGAAAAAGACTTGGAAAATTTTAATAATATTTCAATGAAAAAACAATCACATTCAGTAAAGGTTTACAGGTGAAAATAAATTTCAGAATATGTTATCTTGGCACTAAAAGTGTAATATAAACTTAAGAAAAATATACCGAGCCAGGTGAATTTTATTAGGAAAAGCTAAATGGTAAAAATCAGCCTATGTGATATTGCCAGTTTTTTGTCATTTCGATCTTCCTCTTAAAATTCACCTGGCTTGGTATATTTTTTCTAAGGTTTATATTACACTTTTAGCGCCAAGATAACATACTCTGAAATTTATTTTCACCTGTAAACCTTTACTGAATGTGACTTGTCTATATTCGTTTTTTTATTGAAATATTACTAACATTTTCCAAATCTAATTCATTTTCCAGTTCTTCGGAGAAAAAATTCTAAGAACCATTCACTTTTCTGAACTTATGACATGATATTAAATCTTTTTCAAAGAACAAAAAATTGTTTGTATCATCTGTCCTTAACAAAACCTCATTCTCACGACCAATAAGTCAAGATGCTCATGAAAAATGACTTAAAATGGCCGGAACTCTTAAGAGGGCATTATTTTGCATCTTTTGTTCGACTTATTTCATTTCTGTACGCCCTTTTCCGTTGTAAAGACGAATAATTGCCCCCATAGAATAATGACCGGCGGTATTTTTTGACGTCAAATTATGACCCCCGGTCATTATTCATAGACGAAAAATGACCCCCAGTTATTATTCGACGTCGAAAAATGAACCTTTTGGCCGTAGAAAAGGTATCATCCCCCTAAAATCTGCATATCCCACGTGAAGAAAAATGACCCCCGTAGAATTATGACCCCTTATGGATTAAAGAGGATAAAAGTTGAAAAATTTAGGGGGCAAAATAAAAAATAATCAATCAAGAGACATGTTCGCAAAAATGCTCACTTGAACTAAATTTGAAATAAATCAATGATATGTTGATCTCCTTAAATTATACAACTATTGTTATCTTTAAGGTCAAGGCAATGACTCAGAATTTGAGAAGTAAAAGATTGATCAAGCCCAAAGGGCAAGGAGAGCACCGTTTTTCGATTTTGCAAAATCACTGATTGTCTTAACCAAAAAAAAAAAAAACAACAATGACTGTTTTATTATATGATTCAATGATTACATTGAATACAAACTTATTAAACAGAAATGTAAAGTTTCTTGTTTATGTTTGCTCAGGTTCTAGCCAAACATAATGAGAGAATCGGAGTTAACATATGCATAATCAGTAATAATTTTCTATTTGAAATCTGTTGTGGTGCAACAACGTAGAAAAAAAACAAGCAAAAACAAGCAAATTCAAAGAATTGTATTCTCCCGCTTTCGGTGTCTTAGTGCCTAAGATGTCATTATTTATGACATATTGTGTCAAATACCAACAATCCATCATATGTCATTCAAAAGTATTCACAGCAAATAATATTTTTTGAAAATTATGTCAAACATGAAGGTCAAGAGAGGCAAAAATCATAGCGTTCTCGGAAACATCTTGTTACAGTTAACTCATCTTTGAATTAAGAAAACTATATCTCTTCCCAATCAAAAATTTGGGAAAAATAACATTTTTGAAAAGTAGGTCAGCCTTTATGTTTAAAGGTCATAGGTCAAAACAATCATAGTATATTTAGAAACTTGTCACAGATAATATGTACATTTAATATGAAAGCCCTCTCTTCTCTTTCAAAAGTTATGACCAATTCAAAATAATGTCTTTTTTTTTTAAAGTAGGTCAAACTTCAAGGTCTTAGTCGAGAGGTAAAAAACCATGGCATATTTGGAAAGGTCTTGTCACAGGTAATATTCATGTAAAAAGATGAAAAACCCTCTCATTCATATGACATACAACAGTATGACCAAGGTTAAAGTTTTGTGACAGACGGACTATCATTAAAAGATTAACAAACTGATAGACGAACAAACGACTGAAATTTAATGTCCCCTCACTTTCACAAAAGCGGGGAAAATAAATGTCAAGACATAGCATTGAAAGGGGAAATGGCACATTATAAGAGGCAAAAAAGAAATTACCTTAGAAATATTTTTGATAGACCCCTCAAAAAGGTTCGTGATGTAAGGAAGATTTCCTTTTAGTCTTCTGTACCAAAACGTTGGAAGAGGGGGGCGGGGCAATCAGACTTGCAATAAACCTTAATATATCAACAAGCAATACGATTGTTAAAATAGGGCATAAATTCGAACCCTCGCAAATTACATAGGTGGCTAAAAAAAGTAAGCATACCCTGTTGACCCATCACAGCCGCCATGAGCCCTATTACCAGACCTAATCTAAAACAATATATAAACTAACATCTCTACAAATAATATAAGGCAGCTGCCAGGGATGGGGCCATGACTAGCTACTTTTACGGGCGGGGGGTCTTTTTTTGTCGTTGAAAAATGGCCCTCCCTGTCATTATTCTATTGGGGTCATTATTGGTCTTTACACCGGCAAAGGATGATGTGACATACGGCCCCCGGTAAATTGACAAAAAAATTAATGTCAAACTTTACTCTTATTTCTGCATGCACCTTATCACTGATATGTATGCCCTAAAGGGTTACTACTTTTAACAAAAATAGCTGTGTTATTTGAAAGATTTAGATCTTTCATTTGGGTAGGGTTTTATGTTCACATTCATTTCAGACTGAATTTTGACCCCGCCACAATCTTTGAACCCTTAAAATATACGAGCGCAAGTAGGAACATTTTTTATCCTTATTTGGCTTATCAAAGTATCCTATTGAAATTTACCTATATGTAAGGAGAAAATTGTACCTTACTGTGTTCACATGCTAATTTTTTGTCCCCCGCTTAAAAAGTGGGGGATATTATTTTGGGTTTGTCCGTCCGTCCGTTTTCTGTCTGTCTGTAACGCTTTCGTTTCCACACGATATCTCGAGAACCATTTGAGCTCTTGCAATGAAATTTAGCATAGCAACTTCCTATGGACTAAAGAAGACCCCTATTGATTTTGAGTTCAAAAGGTCAAAGTTCAAGGTCATAAATAAGCAAATTCTGTCTGTTATAACACTTTAGTTTCCACACGATATCTCGAGAACCATTTGAGCTATTGCAATGAAATTTTACATAGCAACTCCCTGTGGCCTAGGGAAGATCCCTATTGATTTTGAGGTCAAAGTTCAAGGTCGTAAATTTATACATTCTGTCTGTGTGTTACACTATCATTTCCGGGCGATGTTTCAAGAAGATTTTGAGCTTATGTAATGTATTTTATACCAAAACTCCCTAAACCTCTCTCACCCCTCTCAAAGTGCCCCGCCCCGTTTGTTTTACTAGTATATATCGTATTACCTGTCGCTATTTTTAGCACAGGGACATGCGAAGAGTTATTGCGTATAAAACAGGTTCTCGGCGGACTTTATCTTCTTATTACATGTATTAGAACTGTTTAATAAAGGCTAAATAAATCAAACACCATGGATTATGTAAAATTATGACAATACCGAACATGAATATATACATGTATATGACTTCACTTCTGCATATACTTGACTTCATTTAAAGCGATTACGTGGTCCAGTGGTATGTCTCCCGCTTCACAGTTGAGAGGTCCCGGGATCGAATCTCGGACGTTCCCTTTTTTTCAACTTTTCTTTTTTTTTAAATGATAGTATTCAGCATGTGAAAAGAATACCGTATAAGAGGAAATTTTAGCGAGACGCAAATTTAGTGATTTATCCTTAAAAACTGGTATTTTATTTTTAGCGAGAAGTAATTTTAGCGAGTTTAAAATGCTCATTTACGAATCTAGTACAAATAACACGCGATTTATTTTTAGCGATATTCAATTTTAGCGATCTCAATAGCCTCGCTAGTAATGCCAAAATTAAATCCTCGTTAAAATTTCTACTTATACGGTAATTTCACCCCTACTAATGTGTTCGGAACCTTTTATTTTTCGGTGTTCTGCAAATTATAAGACCCGATGAGTTCAGAGTAGCTCAGGCAGTGGCTCTGGCGAGAGTTAGCGAGACTTCTGCGAGATAGGGTAAATTATTCACGGAAATGTAACTAGGAAGTGACTAGCATGTGGAGACATGGTAAACAGAAAAGTTATGCTTCGTTTCAGTTTTACCACCCTAGAATCAGCTGATAATTTCAGTAGAAATGTACTTCAATCAATCGATCTCTCTACATTCGTTCAAACTTAAATAAGTATTCTCTACAATACAGTTTTCTGCAGTCATGAATTTAAATTTCTTTTTGGACAAATATTTTGCATGGGAACCGGGACTCAATTTATTGGGGTCAGATTAGCAAATGAGGCACCAACATGATTTTAACTGACCAATCACCTGAATGAGTATTGCATTATGGGTTACTACGAATACTACAGGAATTTTACGCTTGAAAAAAAAGGAAAATCTTATTGTAAATAAAAAAGCATTTTTAAAAATATTATGTCCATGCTCATAATGACAAACAATTCATTTGTTCAATAAACGGTGGAAGTCTATAATTAGGTTTCTGAAAGTCACACTACAAAAGCGATTTGCGTCTGTATTAATTCCTTTGTTGTACTATCGGTGAATACAATGGCCAAACACGTGATCACGAACGTAAACAAAGTTTTGTCCATTTAAATGCATAAGAGATGCTGCTCGTTTTCCTTACCCTTGAAGCGCCGGTGTTCTGAACTAGACACGAACTACATTTTATTAAACATTTTTTTTCCAGTAAACAATAAATAAAAAACGCCCGTAACATCTTTCATAGTTTCTTATCTTTGTATTTTGTTCTTAATGTGTGATAAATATTCCATATAAAAAGAATCTTCTATACACATAATAAAGAATAAGCAACCAAATCTTTATACGGATATTGACATACATCTATTTTATTTGCTGTATGTATTTTATTTGCTTCAGAATACATGTATACATTTAATAATTCTACAAATTAAGTCAGGGGGATCCGACTTTTTCCCTAAGCGGGGGACACGAATTCTCTGAATTAGCGTGTTTAAATGTAAAATTTAGCTGCCCTGTCCCAGTATGAATAGATCGACGAGACTAGATTTTCTGACGTAAGAATAAATTCATATGCTAATCGAGGCACTGGCGATACTTTCTAAAGACCAGTCAGCTAAATAAGATACAGTACGAGTTCATGTGTACCACAAAAATACTTAAGAAATGTAATGCTTGGAAAAAATGCCCTTTTTTTACCTGCATTCGGATTATTATTTTTTTATGTATTTGAGTCACAGATTAGACATTGAACTACATATTTATGTACAATTTCCGAAATCACAGTTACAAACGTTTGATTAATAAATACATAGTTCAAAGTTTTGTGAAGTGTTTGGCGGGTATTTCGTATCCACACGCGCGTATCCCGGAGTATAAGTATATACCAGTTTCTTGTGCATTTCTTGACCCTAAACCGTAAACGCTGAAATTCCATGCGTATCACTAAGTATAAACAGCCTTGGCTGACCACTAAAGCAAGTGAAATAAAGGTAAATTGACCTTGCTAAACCAGGTGTCTATGATAAAATGTTAACGTGTAGTAAACAAGTATTTTTGTTGTTTTGTCATCGGATTGGACAATTGTTCTCGGTAATGGACTTTGTGGAAAATGATAGCATTAATAATATAAGGTAGATTCATCGGACATACATATCCCTCATTTGTCCCGCATATTCTCTTTATAAAAGAACATATTTTCTCGCATAATCACCAGTGTAAGATTGACTTGTCCGGTGTGAGACAGCAGTGTGAGATTTTTCTATCTTACACTGTGTATTACTACGCCACGAACGATAACGTAAACATTCCGTCATTATATAAAGAAATTGTAACAAAGTAAAAAAAATATAACACATAATTAAACTGTTGTCATTTAACTTATTAATATAAACTTATTTTCATTCAAAATATTGTCGTATTTTCACCTTTTTCATGACACTATTTTTAGAATGCGGAATGATTCTTCTTTTACGTTGTCGGATAGATAAGTTTTTTATTCCCAGTTTTTATCTTTCTGATTAATTTACATGGACTGAAAATTATTTTATCAGTTTACAGTGCGTGTAAACCATTTTCAGGTACGTTCTCTCCGATGGTGTATTCAGATTTTTAATTAGATGGAAAATTAAAAATATTTTTTTAGCCCCATCATGGCGACGTCATTGACAGGCCGTTATTTTGGACAAAATAATGCGAGAAAAATAATCATTCATTACATACTCGTGTGGGAATATTGAAATTCCACCACGGGGCCAAGATTCACGGTCTAGGACTCGGCAAAGCCTCGTCCTAGACTGTGAATCTTGTCCCCTCGGTGGAATTTCACTATCCCACACTCGTAGTAATGAATGATTCTATTAATCACAAACCAGGCCCAACTTTTCCGTGATAGGGTCTAAAAAATCATATATTATGCAGTATTCCTAATAATTAAAATGTGTCGGAACTATTGAAACTAATTATTCACTCATGTTTGAAAACTATCAAAATCGTTGTAGATTAATTATAATTCTTCGTAGAAAAAGGGGCCCCAGATACATGTAGCAATTATGTCACATCATTCTTTCTTCGATTCATCCATATTTATTTTGCTGATTTTTCCTGCAATACATGAAAACCGTGATGCATATATTACATAGGAGTGAATTTCTGCCCTGGCTCTGAAAGCATGGTTTGTGTTGAAAAAAAATCAAACAAAAACTAAAACTTTACTGAGAAGTACATGTATAAATAAATTTTGAATGTTTTTGCTTCAATGCTGCTAAACTACAGCTGTTTAGATATACGTGAATGCATGACACGAACACCCGTCGTGTGCTCCTTGTCATGATCAGGAAATAATTAACGGAAAAATCCATCGTCAATTCAGTGTATAAATAATGGAGTACAATTATTATTAAAAACGTCATTTAGCATTTGACTTAATGATAAATTGTATTTGCTAAAAAGGGGTCATGGTATCGACCATAGAATTTATTAAATTATGACTTTAAACGAGAAGGCTGATATTCTTGTTTCATCAACTTGTTTTTCATTAGTTATCTTCGTTTTAGAAATTGTTCATACGAAGAGCATGTTCTTGCGTAATGCAAATGGAAAATAAAGAATGAAAATGAAAAGTTATGCCGTAGCAATATTTTTTTTTTTTTTACAAATTTGTAAAATACAAATGGAAAATTTTGCAGTAATACATATAAAAGTTATACAATACAAATGAATATTTGTATAATACAAATGGAAAAGATCGAAAATTGCAATGTTTGACATGCCATATAGTTTCCAACCATGCCATAGTTTCCAACGGAAGACTGTCTTCATGGAATATCTAAATGGTGATTATATTTTGTATTATTGTTCTTCCGTATCTGTTAAGTCTTTGCTTTTATATTGAATCTATAACAGAAAGATGTGGCTACCTGATCAATATATAGGGCTTAAAGTGGATGTGGCCGGTCAACAGGTGAGGCTTAATCCCCCAAGGCACCTCATAATACCTCTGCAATTTTCAAGTATCCGTGTTTTATGCCCTCAACACATTTTTACATTGTTTAGTAATGTTTTTAGATTGATCACTTTTCGTTATATTCACCCTTTACAAAGTAGTCCTGATATCGATTGTTACGTTTATTTCTTTCTGCAAAGGTATGTATATTTCGATTAACAGATATAAAAATACTTAAACGTGAGCATAGTCAACATAAGAAAGTCAAGATCGCTGTACATTCTATTCATTTGCAGGAAATTACAAAAAATTCAATACTCAAAACCTGATGTGTGTTCTGTAGAAATGTTATAATTTTAACATCTTTAACACAACCACTAGAAATCCATTATATTTCAAAATATTCTAACAAAAACGGAATGAATGATTTATTTAGTATTTACAAAAATTTAATGATGCACCAAAATGCCGTAAGTCTACGGCATTCTTAACATTCTATTGTATAAGATTTTTATTATTGGGTATGTAATTAATGATCATTAATATGTTCCTGGCAACTGCTTAAACATCCCCCTTGCGTCCTTGGACAAATTGTTTTATATCGCTAACTGCTGCTATATTCGTGTCAGACTCAAATATTCTCCCTCTCTTAAAAAGTATCTGTGTTTTTAATTTTATAGAAATTTCTTCAGTAGGTGGTAGGTGGATCTTTTTCCCCGTCTTATTTAACACTATTAGCAAGAGTGATTGCTCATCTGAAATTAACAAAATTATGATATTCTGTAAACAATTTCTATATGAAGAAAACATTATTTTTTAAGCATTGTGTGTGAGTAAATAGGATGAAAAGCATAATACTATTTGGTTGGATATGGAATGGAGATTCTTTTATGCCTCCATCATCGAAGAGTATAATTTTTTATCTGTTCGTTCTTCTGTTCTTAAAAACATTTACCATACTCATAACTTTTGATTAGTTGAACGTCTGGTTTTCGTATTTTACTGCAAATTCTTTATGACAAGGATTTTCTTTTGTTACCATCATATTTGACCCTTTCAACTTGACCTTTGAGTTTTACTCACTTTTGCAAAATATTATCAAACATTAAGCTTGACAAAAATTTAAACAGTTAATGGTAGGGCTTCCATATTTCGTATTTCAATTTGCCAAGAATTCCTTTTGATACCAACAATTGTAACTTTTTTTACCTTGACTATTGAATTCGACCAACGGTAACAAAAATTATTATAGCCATAACTTCTGAACATCAGGTACTAGAGCTTTTATGTTTCACAGATGTACGATTTGAATGATTTGTGACGTATTCTTTTTTTGATACTAACAATTTCTATCTTTTGAACTTGACGTTGGAGTTTAACTTACTGATGAAAAACTTTAATCTTGACCATAAAGTTTAGATTTAAGGCGGTGGAGCTTTTATACTTCACAGGTTAAGCTCATATAATAAGGCCTTCATTAGATTAACATTATTTTTGACCCCTTGACCTTGCCCTGAAATTTGTTCCACTTTTTTTAATAATCGGAACTTTGTCATAAGCTTTGAATGGATGGAGCCTGTTACTCCATATATACCCCGATGTATTCATTGATACAATTTTTTTCTTTAAAAAACAATATTTTTTATCTCTTGAATCGGATGTTAATCTTCATTTGAAAATTTTTAACCTTCGTTAAAGGCTGCTTTAAAGGAGCATCAGTATTTCATTGACACATCTTGTTTTAATTGCAAATAATTCATGCTGTTTAAACAGCTTTTCATAAACGTGCAATACGAAAGTTACCTGATATATGGTTGCACTTTTTAAACGTGTTTATAAAAGTGTCTCCAAGTCTTTCCTCCTTAGATTTAAGAATGAAACATCCTTTTTTATGAGGTTTGATTCGTTCGTCTGTCATATTGTAGTAGATAATTCTTATTTGCTTTAAATATTTTTCACAATAAGCTTCCATGAGATCCTGGCATTCCTTATCTTCAATAATGCAGTGTAGAGTTCCTGTAAGGAGAAAAAAATATTTTTTCAGCTCTGTAAAAATTCAAAGTGTTTATTTTAATTGATAAATCCCTCAAATGATAACGAATTCAGTAACTTTCTTTTTAAATTCGCCCTTATATTTGTACTCAGGTATATGCGCAGGTTCGCTTGTATTCAAATTCGAATTGTATAGCAAAATTCAAAATTCCTTCCAAATTTCTTTTTTGAAAATTTACTGATAAGATTGATTTTTTTTCTGAAAGTACGAAATAAAAAAAAAATATATGAGAGAAATATTGCAGTATACTGTAAATAACATATATTTTGGTTTGTGGAAAATTCTCGTATCGTGGGGAATTGGTTTCGCCCTAGCTATAAGAGTGAAAAATGTGTAGATAACGAAATGTGTTCATGAAAAGACTTACTTTTACAATCGACGACTGACTTTAACAATTTAAACAGAGATCAACTCAAATAACAAAAATGTAAAAGTCAGCTGTCGAATGTAATAAGTCTAATTCATAAAACTCCAATAAAAGGAAATATTTAATATTGTTTATAAACAGTAAAAAAAAAGATGTGGCAGCTGCAAACTCTATGGTGTCTTTTTTGACGCCTTGTAACTATCACTTTGACATAAAACGTATTTTTAATAATATCGTTATTAAGAAATAAGTGTTTAATTTTTTTATTTATTTATTTTTTTACTTTCATGACTTGATCCCTCGAGTAGGCCAATTGATACTGTAGATTGGCAAATATTCACGATGGTTTTAATTTCGCTATGTTCGCGATTTATTAATTTTTCGCGAAATTAAACCCATCGTGAATGTTATTATTACTTTTCAATAATGTTAAATTGCTTATAGGAAATTTCTAGCAGCGTGAAATTAAAACCATCGCAAATGGTACTTTTTGAGATATCGTGAAATTTTAACACCTTGGAATTAAAACAATTTACAGTAATTCGCATAAACGCCATTATGCATAGAATTATCACGGAAGCCAATCGATTGATCATCGTCATGAAATCAAAAAATCTGACAGTTTATCCTTATATTTACATGCTTTTGAATGTACAAATCCTCGTTCTCTTATCCCTGCTTCTGTCTCTATTTGTCCTGCTCACACGTATTTTTAGCTCACCTGAGCCGAAGGCTCAAGTGAGCTTTTCTGAAAAAAAATTGTCCGTTGTCTGTCGTCGTTGTCGTTGTCGTTGTTGTCGTTGTAAACTTTTCACATTTTCATTTTCTTCTCAAGAACCACTGGGCCAATATCAACCAAACTTGGTACAAAGTATCCTTAGGTAAAGAGGATTCAAGTTTGTTCAAATGAAGGGCCAGGCCCTATTCCAAGGGGAGATAATTATGAATTAGAGAAAAATTTATGGCATTTTTAAAAATCTTCTTCTCAAGAACCACTGGGCCAGGAAAGATGAAACTCATGTGGAATCATCCTCAGGTAGTGTAAATTCAAGTTTGTTCAAATCATAACTCCGGGGGGTAGGGTGGGGTCAAAATGGCCGATCAAAGTTTTACATAAGAATATATAGGAAAATCTTAAAAAATCTTCTTCTCAAGAACCACTGGGCCAGGAAATATGAAACTCATGTGGGATCATCCTCAGGTAGTGTATATTCAAGTTTGTTCAAATCATGACCCTTGGGGGTAGGGTGGGGCCAAAATGGCCGATCAAAGTTTTACATAGGAATATATATAGGAAAAATCTTTAAAAATCTTCTTCTCAAGTACCACTGGACCAGGAAAAATGAAACTCGTTTGGAATCATCTTCAGGTAGTGTAGATTCAAGTTTGTTCAAATCATAACCCCCAGGGGTAGGGTGGGGCCAAAATGGCCGATCAAAGTTTTACATAGGAATATATAGGAAAAATCTTTAAAAATCTTCTTCTCAAGTACAACTGGGCCAGGAAAGATGAAACTCATGCTGAATCATCCTCAGGTAGTGTAAATTCAAGTTTATTCAAATCAAGACCCCCGGGGGAAGGGTGGGCCCAAAATGGCCGATCAAAGTTTTACATAGGAATATATAGGAAAAATCTTCTTCTCAAGTACTGCTTGGCCAGGAAAGACGAAACTCATGTGGGATCATCCTCATGTAGTGTAGATTCAAGTTTGTTCAAATCATGACCCTGGGGGAAGGGTTGGGCCAAAATGGCCGATCAAAGTTTTACAAAGGAATAAACAGGAAAAATTCTTTTAAAATCTCCTTCTCAAGAACCACTAGGCCAGGAAATATGAAACTCATGTGGAATCATCCTCAGGTAGTGTAGATTCAAGTTTGTTCAAATGATGACCCCCGGGGGTAGGGTGGGGCCAAAATGGCCGATCAAAGTTTTACATAGGAATATATAGGAAAAATCTTTGAAAATCTTCTTATAAAGTACTTCAAAGCCAGACTTCGTTATATTTATAGGGAATCATCCTCAGGTAGTGTAGATTCAAGTTTGTTCAAATCATGAATTATGTTGTAAATTCAAACCCCCCCCCCCCCCAAGTTTACGTTCAGTTCTGATCTGATCTTTTTTTTTCTAGCCAATTGCTCAGGTGAGCGATGTGGCCCCTGGGCCTCTTGTTTTTTTTTTATCACGCCTGTCGTTGAACCAATAGATTTATGTAGAAATAAAGTACATTTACCATTTGCAATTTTATTTGGGACAAAGACATTGGAAATGTAAATACGAGGAGCGTTCAATAAATAATGTCATCAGCTCCATGACATACAACATAGAAATCATATGACATTAAGCTTGACTTTTTCTAATTATTGACTCTTTAATGAATTGATAACAGTTTATGTGACCACTTTTCATCGCATAATTTCATTCTGGGAAGCTGGAAAGCAAGGGCTACTCGAGACACTGCGTAAAAATGAATGGTCAAGAATCAGTAAATTAGAGTAAAATTGAACGCGTCATTAAATCTGCTGTAAAACTTGTTAATTTCCCAAAAATATATTAACTGAAATATGTGAAATTTACAGCAAATTATGTCTGTTTGATACACACATGAACAGGTGGATTTCAATTAACAAAAATTATCAAATGGTCATCAAAAATGGGTACCCTCGTTGTCAACAGAATATACAACAAACCAATGTATATTAGCGATAATTCAACAACTTATCACAGATTATGTTTTATTGACTTTAAGTTACATAGCAAATTTGATAGACATCATATCGGGGGTAGTTCAGACTACATTTGATTGTAAAAAAAAGTTCAATACTCAAATGTCACCCTATATTTATAAATATGAGTGAAAACGATAGCGTGTAGAAAATTTAAACAATTATTTTTTAAAAAATCAAAAATTGTTCTTATCCACGTTTTTCTGAAATTCAAATAGATCATGAAACTTGAATCCATTTTGCGTTAAACCCTCAAAACAAATTTAGAATAAGATACAATTGAGAAAACTGCAAAATTAAAAGAGAATATTTTAGTTAAATCATTAAGACAAAATCATAGAAAAGCGATTTTTGTTTCTTTCCGAGCCCTGATGACATTATTTATTGAACGCCCCTCGTATTCATAATTAATAGAAATGTGTTTGACACACAACAAAACCACAACTTGACACGATGGTGCTATCTTCAAATATTAGAATGTATTGATTGAATTTGCACATGGCTTATACAAGTTTTTTGTTTGGCATAAGGTATGCTGATCATTCCCTTGGTGTAGAGTCGTAGGCGAGTGCACTGTTTGTCAAACCCAGCCCACTATTTTGGCATGCTACATGTCAAGCACAACACTTTTGTAATTGTTTTTACACCTGGACGGGCTTACAATCTCGTTAAAATAAGTTTCCTTTATATTATCGTTTTTACCAACAACATAATTTTTTTTTTATTCCCTGGAACAAGTTTGTGTAATGAATATAGACCTTGTTTTTACTATTTATCTTTATTTTCATTTCCACAGTGCTTCACCACTCCTTATATTGATTCTTGCGTTCTTCTCAAGCATATGAGAAATCCCCTATTACGATGTTATGTTGTGCTTCGTCATATCATTTTTTAAAGATATAATGTACAGAATGCTTTAAAGGGCGTTTGCGCAGAAAATCATAAAAAAGGCTATGACACTTTTTTGGTTTATTTTTCTTTAAAGTATCAGCATGTCCGTTTTTAATTCCCGTTTTCAAGATTTATTATGTTTTTGTTGACACTGTGTTTTTCAACTTCAAAGTAATGACTTCAGGTAACAGCTTCTGCGGTGTAATTAGTAATAAGACAGACCGATGGTGCTATGAGTTTGATCCCTTTTGTGGACACGGTTTTCTCTTGAAGAAAGAAGTATTGCACTATTTCGGCATTGCATACTTACTCTATATAAACCCTTTGAACTTTTTGTGATGATAGTTGCATGGTTATTGATTGAATATAGAAAAATACACACAGGAAGCATAATAATGAAATATATTGAGTCGACGTATGCATCAAATTTGAATCATAAATTGGTAGATAGATTACCTTCAACAGAGTGTGTTGTTCGATCTGTCTCATTTAAACCTGGATCTTCCTCAGTAGATGACCTCACTTCCTGTATAACATCCTTCTTTTGGTTTGGTCTTTCTATGATTTCGATTTGAAACAAAGATGATAAATAAAGATTTTAAAATTTTGCATTTTTTCAATTTTTTGTGACATTTTTTTAAACCCTTCTCTGCCAAATAAAGTTCTGTTATGTGATACATTGTATAATAAGACAACAAAAGAAAGATGATTTGTAACTTTGCATTTTCTATCAAATATTTCGCAATTAGAAAATCCTTACATTATTTCATCCAAACATCGTATTCACATAGTCAACGTGCAGCACTTGAAAAAACATCTGATTTTGTAACAACATCAATGCTTCCAGATTTTAATTTTTACTAGCAGTTACGTAACTAGATTATTGCTTCCAGAAGATACGTCATGCTACCGTAAATAGATTATGAATCCCAGCTTTGCAGTTAGAAGCAATAAAAAAATTTATATGATAGTTGAATATTTCTATTTTGATGTGTATTAATAATTTGGATTATTTAAAAAGTAAAATTTCTATGTTATGATATTTTGTACTGACAAAAAGCTCAATGATTTCCTGAATCTGCATTTCACTGTTGCTTATAAGTAGCTAAATGTTTGTTTTGCTAGTGTATCCTGTGCCTGTTGATGCAGATCAATACAATGTGTTATGTCTTAAATCCGATCGCGATCCCGATGCTAGTTGGATGCTGATGCTTATTTAATTTGATGATGCTTAGTTAATTGTATCAACATTTAGTTTCCTGTAATGTTATGGGGTTCATAACATGATCAAGTACATCTTTCATAACCTTTTAACGGCATACCTTTGATTTCGATCTGCGTGTACACATGAAGTATTACACAACGCGAAACTAGGAGCAGAATAGCTAATTTGATGTGCCAATTATGTCGGTATCCGTTGTTCCAATTAATGACTATGTAAAGATACTCGTAGGAAACTAAAAAAAACATTTAAATGCAATATATTACATACGTATTGCACGCATGCATATAAAATAAACACATATTTTGTATCTCGAGTTGTAATAATTATCACAATTCCACAAAAATTTTTACATGGTTTACAATTAAAATATTAATTAACATCATATACTATATAATATTTTATTTAAAATTCAGTGGTAACCATATCTTGTATTAATTACATATATTTAATATTTCTTATTATGGATTTTTTTCAGGTTGATATCAATATTCATTTCTTATTTCTTCCTTAGTATGAAAAAAAAAACAACTTTTAAAGCTTACATATTTCACGGTGGCATATTTTTCCAAAGATATTTCCCATGACAAGTTGACAACTGCAATATCAAAGATTTCTTTAATCGATCTACGGAAGCTATCCAAGAAAAATAATATTTGATATTATATATGTGACAGTAAATATGTGTAATCAGGAATTTAATGTATTTCCTGAATTTTAAGAAATACATGAAATTCCTATTATGCTTAGGGAATACACAAATTTACTAATTTCAGTTAGGAAATACACGAATTTACTGAACTTTTTCATACTTTTTACACATATATTTACTGACTGCACTTTGTAAGATAATTTGAAATATAAATTTTAAAATATAAACATATGCACAGTGTATTCAATGTTAAAATCAGTTAGCATAATTATCATGCGTGATTAAATACATGTATTTGAAATGAACTTTTGATTACTTACGAATTTTAAAAATTATATTATTTGTAAATATTGACCAAAAAACTTAATGATATTCTGCTTTCATTTTCTAGAATGTGTTTTCTATATCCCAGCATTGAGGCAACGCACTTTAAAAAAAATTACGCACTTCGAAAAAAGTATTCAAAGTGCGTTAAAATTGGGAAAAAAATCAACGCACTTTGAATACTTTTTTCAAAGTGAGTTATATTTGGGACCAACTCAACGCACTTTGAAAAGATTTTTCAAAGTGCGTTAAGAGTCTACATCAATATATTTTACCATGGAGACACTTAACGCACTTTGGAAAAAAAATCATGTTTTAGTCATGGAAAGATTTTATTTGTGATTTATCTTTCAAAAAACTAAGCCTAACCCTAACCTAAAAATGAATTGATTTACACCGAAAATAGGAGAAGACGGGTTTAAGATCCCTCAGTCCAAATCTTTATCTTTCCAATACATAAGTGTCGGTAACAAACGGGGGAGGGGGCAATATACCTAAAAAGGGTACGCTGCATTTTCAATGCTTATACGATGTATATATCTTTCCAAAATAAGTGGGGGGCTTAACCGCACATCCTCTCCCCTGCCCTTCACCCAGTCTCGATGTCTATGCTATACTCAAAGCATTCAGATAATTATGTATTTACCTAAATGGTATGACGTTGAAAATTCAATAATAAATGAGTTAATTAAAACAGATGAAAACTAGAAATTTTTAAGTACAGTAAAACGTATGAGAGAGAAAGAATTTTCACAGTTTTGAACAATTCAATCGGCCCCTTTTTATTATAATAAATGCTAAGTTGCTTGAAGCTTTCCTTTGTTAATGCCCCCTATACACCTTTACATCTACTTATCAAAGACTAAAATGCCAAAAAAAAAAGAATTAATGAACTTAAACAATCGTCACTCTTTCTTTCAAGACCCTTTAATTTTCCCTTTTATTTTATCAAAACCTTATATATTTAAAACGCCAATATCTCAGGTCCTGCAGCAATTTTATCATATAAAAAGTTATCAAACCAGGATCTGTTATTTATCATACCGATTATTTGAAGGAATATTGATCAATCTTTAAATTTTTTTCAAAATGTGTTAATATGGTCGATATTAACGCACTTTGAAAAAAAAATTCAAAGTGCGTTAGCTTGGTCCCAAATTTTAACGCATTTTGAAATTTTTTTTCAAAGTGCGTAATTTTTTAAAGTGCGTTGTAATACAGCATGCTTTCACTAACTTGAAGTAAACTGTTATTTAATCTATAAAACTAAAATTGTTTACTGGCTGGCATATCTTTTAGTGTTATTACAATGCTACATTTATTGACAGTAAATTAAAAAGCCTGAAGCATCTTATTTGCAAAAAAAAAAAAAGAAGAAAATCGTGCATTTTTGATAAATTTTAAAACAAAAACTATGTAAAAAATAATTCAAATTCATCATTCTGATGTTACATCTCCAAATTAAAGTTTGCATTGAAATTTAAAAATTTCTATTTCTAGTGTTTTGTTCTGTTTTTTTTTTTTTTTCTGTAAAAAGACCGGGTTATGCATTTTTACGGCAACTGAAGGGAAGAACAGCACATATCGATCACATAACACGCGATTGTCTGTCTGTCGGTCCGTCTGCATTTCACTTAATGTGTCAAGACCTGAAGAGGTAATGATTTCTTATTTTTGTACTTACATTGCTATTAGTTTTGTGACTTTCAAAACAAATCATGGTTACAGACCTTGCAATCTTTGACCTTGTCATTGAGTCTTTTTTTCAAATTATGATACATTAAACTGCCAACATACAACAAATATTCGACTTTGCAATTTAGAATGTGCATGTATGCTGTTTGAGGTGAATCATTATTAGAACAACCAGTGTTAAAGCTCTCAAGAAGATATTTGTTTAACTTTCACTTCCGTCTTTTAAATTATGAAATGCAGGATTTTCAAATCTTCTAATGCTATTTTTGGAACAGATCTTAACCTTTGGGTATTTTTGAACAATGGTATAATTCTTACAAATGTACGTTACATGAGACAAAGCGTTTTAATAACAACAAACTAGTACTCTTACTTTGCTTAGATGTCAAACATCTAAAAAAAAAAAAAACGATTCTCAAACAGTTTTTAACCATGCGACTATATTGTCCTGTAGGACATGGCAGTACTGGTGAGATAAATATAGTCAATGATCATGCAGGTGTGATAAGGCTTTACACAGATCAGAATTCGGAAAGCTCTTAATTTTTTTGTAAAATAAAAAATCAATAAATTATCTAATTTTTTTTGTTTGACGGAGGGTGCATATTGGATAATACTATGTATACTGAAAAACTTGTATGTATAAATTGAATTCAGTTATGGTACATGTAAATGGAAGCGGTTGTGATTTTCCATAATCACCAGATAAATTAGAGCATTGTTTAAACAGAGTTTGAACTGACTTTCCGGTTGTATAATGTTAAACATAGATATAAAAAGTGTAAAGTCTACAAATATTTTTACTAACCTTGAATACGCCGTACAGGTAAAATAGGATATGACGGAATGTTCGTCTAGGTTAGAAACGTTATCAGTGGTTTTTTTTTTTTTTTTTTGTTCAAACAAATATCACCATTTTGGACTTTGATACCAGAACCTTTTCTAAGTTCGGTTATTGTCTTTCCCTAAACATATCGACAGAAATTGTTGAAAATTTAAAATCAAATTCGAGAAATGCTGTGTACAAGAATATATCATTATGGTGAATATAACTTGTGCCTCAAAACATATGTTGCACTTTTAATTAAATATTCCATGTACAAGTGTAAAAGAGATCAATTCATGATCAATATAAAGCTTTTCGGGATTTATGGAGTTAAATCTCGTGACCAACCAGTATTCATATCTGGATAGATGTTTTAAAATGATAGCTTATTTCTTAAAGGTATTCTGTCACCTCTTTGTACATTGGTAAAAAATATATATATTCAGGTTAAATAATTATATAAGTAAAAATATTTCTTAGTTTTTATGACGTCATAAAGATGTCATAACATTTTTCAGATGAAAAAAGGTAGAAATTGCCAAACCTTACTATGAGAAGAAAGTGACCCTTCAGTTATTAGAACCATGAAAATTAACACCCTGGAATAAATACATGTATATTGTATGCTCAACGGAATATTATTTTACAGACTTCCGACAAAATATTGAAGCTCAAGGCACCAAAACCGAAAAGAAAACAATTCTGGAACATTAATGAGATCACTAGATTTCTTGCACAGAGTCTGACACATGTTTCATACTTGGAAATCTTCTTGAAAAAGACGTTAATGGTAATCTAACAACCCAATTATACTATAAATGTGATGACTTTAACTTTTCTATTGTCAACTTCCCTTACTTATGCAGGAATACACCCTCTTAACCTGCAAATGGAGTCTACATATCTCAGTTGTTCGATACACAAGAGCATGCACTACGTATGAACAATTTCTAAAACGAAT